AGGTGGAGGATACTCTTGGGATCCCAGAGGGCCGGCGTGGGGGATTGCTATGGACTGGGAAGAGGGTCTAAAGGGACAAGAAAGAAAGACAGGGCGAGAAACTTGGGAAACGGGTTGAGGAGAGGGGAAGGGCGGGGGGACCATAAGGGGGCGGGAAACACATAGGGAGGGTCTCCAGGGAACCTGGGAACTGCAGAGGGAAGGGGCTGCGGACTCTGTAAGGCGTTTCCATTCAGCGAGTGGCTGAGAAGCCGGCTCTCAGGTGTCTGCAGGATGCCCGCGGGCGCGCGGTCCTGGTGCAGAGCCCATGGATGGCGTGGGCCGTGGAGCCTGCGCATCTTCCACGGTGACAGCCACAGTTGCTTTCCTCTGATCTGCAGCTCTAGGCCCCTCCCCGAACTGCCCCTCTCCACCCAGCCCGAGAGGGCTAGTAGGGTCCGCTAGGGGCGTGGGAAAGGAAGGCTGCGCAGAGGCGGGCGTTGAAGCCTGGGGGTGGGGACTGGGTGTCCGGGTCTATCCAGAACAACCTGGACACCGGCGCGCGGCGTGGGTGAGATCCCAGCGGAGTTCCCGGTCCCTCCCCTAAATTCCCAGCAATCGGAATGGGAACCCCAGCGTACTCGAGGATCACACCGCGTCCCTTTCAGCTCCTTCCCCATCCCCGGAGGTGGGCCTTGAGAAGTCCTAGAAAAACTTTGGGGATCCGTCGGGAGGGCCCATGGCGGAACGGAACACTTCCCTCCTACTCCTCCCCACTGCTGGGGGAAAGTCCTTTGCCTCCACCGCCCCAGGTCTCTTGGGTTCTGCCCTGCAGGGCGGGGGTGGTTTGGGGATGCAGCTCTTGAGCCGGGTAGCCCCCTCTCGTGGGCGGGAGAGGGGATTCAGCCCTGCCTCTTCTGTGAGTGTGTGCAGGGGGGAATTATGGAAGGAGTCCGGCTTGTTAGTAAGGTAGGTTGCAGTGCTAGGCGGAGGTGGGCGGGGAATGGAAGGTGAGGGGTGGAGGGCTGACTTCCCTGTGGGGCAATTACGTACAAATACAGCTGAACTGGGGAGAGGGTGAAAGTCCCCTTTGGGGGCCTCCTCCTTTGCTGCCTGGAGCAGAGGCAGTGCTGTTAGGGAAAGTGGATACATGGGGGGGAAAGGGACGGTGTTTGAACAGTGTGCATCCTGGCCACTTTCCACAGGAAACCAGACCCGAGGGACAGAACAGGAAGGAGGCAGGTGGGTGTGGAGCCAGGAAGGAGGGGAGCGTGGCACTGCACATTTGAGGGGGGCTCAGGGCTGGACAGCAATATATGTTATGTTCCAAACGCTGGCCCCTATGCTGGGTCTTACCAAGGTCAGGGATTTGAGGATGGCTCTCAGTGCCTGACTCCCATCACAATCCATCCCAGCTCTCAGGGGACTTCCTCCTAAAGTTTCCCTGAGCCTTCTAGTGTGTTCCGCAGATAACCTCAGTTTGTTTCCACTGTAACAGTGGGGATCATAGACACTAGCTCATCAGACAGTGGCATGATGGACCGTATTGTGTGGCATTCTACAGCAGTGCCTGGCACAGGGTAAACATCATAGAAAAGCTTGCTTTGGGAGCCGGCTGGTGGCGTGGTGATTAAGGGCACTGGAGTCCAAATGGCTGACTGCTTTGAGTCTCAGACCTGGTGGCTTGCTTTGTCACTTTCTCTCTTCCTCTCTCTCTCTGTCCCTCTCTGGTCAAATTAAAATAAAGTTAAGTAAAACTTTTTAAAAAGCTTGCTTTGGCTGCCCCCTCACCCTGTGTGCCCTCTGTGTGTGTGTGTGTGTGTGTGTGTGGGGGGGGGGGTATGGGACCAAAACTCGGGGCC